TGTGAAAAATGCCTTGCTTCTGTGAATGACTGAATAATAATAAAATCCTAACAATGTTGCTTATATGAATGGTTGCATTCATGGTGAATATTAAACTCTCTCAAACAACAGTCTTGTTACATGTATTTTCTAATGAACTAAAATGAAGTACAAGAATGCTGAAATAATTTAAAAAGTTGATGATGGTATAGAGCAAATGTTCTGCATACTTTACTTATGTATAAACAATAGCATCTGAAAATCCCCAATATAGGTAGGCTTTACATTAAAAAAAGAGAACAACAAATACCTGATATTGCAGTTTTAAAGTTAATTTAAAACATATGAATTTTGTTCACTGAATACCTAGCAAAATATTTTCAATACAAATGGTATATTAAATTTTATAAAATCAGTTTGATACAATACTTTTTATGACAGTAGATGTATTTTGAAAACTTATTTACAACACAACTTACCACCTTTATTTTGATACAAAGGACACGTCTTTTTCATCATTGACAAAGTTTCTATTGCTCCATTGATATCAAGTGTATAGTCCCATGGCAAATTCCCATTCTCTAAGTCCCACGTAAACTGAGGTTTGAAGATATTTGTAGTGCCTAACAAATGCTTCTGTGAATGACTGAACTAATAATAAAATGCTAACAATGTTGCTTATATGAATTAACAACAGTCTTGTTACATGTACTTTCTAATGAACCAATATGAAGTACAAGAATGCTGAAATAATTTCTGACAGCTTCACGATGTAAAGATAAGTCATAACTAACAGCAATATTTCATGTCATAAGACAATCATACATTCTTCCTTGAATCCACAAGGGTTTATCCTGATGATCAGCTCAAATTTCTTATATCTATCCTTTATGAAAACAGTTGCTTCTTTTTAAGGTTAAAGTTATTAAACTCTCTCAAACTATAACTGTTATTACCCAATGAACAAGAAAAATGAAGTACAAGATAACTGAACTATCTTCTGACAACACGATGTTGGGTAAGTAGCATTTAGTAGGATTTCACGTTTTTAGACTGTCTTGAGTTCATATCGGTCGATCCCGCTGAGCAGCTGAAGCCTCAGCTTGTATATATCCTTTTCCCTTTGGTGTCCTTGATCGTGATATGAAGTTTACTTTATTTTATTTGGTTTACCTATATTTACGCTACTATTCCCCGTCGTTCATTCCCTCCAGCATGGCCGCGGGACTAGTGTTACGGAGCAAATATGACGTCACTGTAATCGGTTAATTAGTAAATCTAAACTGACTGTTGGCACAGAGCTGCCATATCTAAATGTTAATTTGGAAAACGACTGTGAAATTTACCCATCTTTGGATATGGACGAGTGGTGTATGTATAAAAATTAGCGTTAGTTGTTGTTTTGTGTAAGAGGAAATTTTGGGATTTTTGTGGCCTGTCTTCAACTGATATCAGTTTAGTAGACCAGCACTGTAAAGCTTTGAAATTGAAATTCAGTATATATTTCCTAAAAGGCTACATACAGTGTTTTAGTATAAGCAAAAGGAAAATTTTCCCTATTATGTAACGTGTGGATCAACAAACCAAAAGTTCAATACCATTACCAATAGACTTTTAGTATAAGCAAAAAGAAAAGTTTCCCTGTTATGTAACGTGCGGATCAACAAACCAAAATTTTAATACCAATAGACTTGCAAATTTTTAATATTATTATTATTATTTATTTATTATTTTTTACAAGAAACTGGTATAATATCCTCTAGCAACTCATGATAAGGGGAACAAAGAAGCAGATACAACATTTTCTCATATCTGAGCATATTTCCATTGGTGCATTTTACAGATCAGCTGTTTGTGAAGAGTGATGGTGCTATCCTCACTGCTCGCAGTATTTGGGGTGCTTTGAGGGGTCTAGAAACTTTTAGTCAGCTTGTTTACCAAACTCCTGATGGAACGGTAAGATGATAGTCTAATCATGCAGCTGAGAAATATAACACAAAAAAACATTTTATGTTATGTTTTTCTTCTTATGGGATATATATATATACTGGTATATATATATATACTATATATATATATATATATATATATATATATATATATATATATATATACCAGTATATATATATATATATA